CTAAACTTTTACTAATATATAATATTGCTCCTAAGACTTTCTGTGCCCAATCAAAGAAATTGAGAAAAGCTGGAGGGATTTCCTTCGGAGGTGGGTTACAAGCAATACAGGATGGATCGTCAGTTAAGACAGAAGTAGCAGCTTTTCTAAAGTTACGCTCTGATTTGTTGTGTATAGAAGAATGAGTCCTTTGGTATTTTATCAATTCTCTAAAGTTATTCATAGGGTGTTTCTCATAGTACTACGTAAACAGGAAAAGGAGGTTCTATCATCGTCGTCAAATGTTAACTGTCACAATTCGTAAGGATTGCACGTTAACATTACCTTTAGTGAAGGGTGCCTAAAACTATGTTTGATCACATGATTTCTCAACTGATAATTCAGAATCCAGATATATTATATAAAGTAAAAATAGTATTCCATTTTTAAAAATAGTGTTATATGGAGGAGAAAGAGAATGATAGGTCGATTCAAACAGGTTTGCAATATAATTACGGGGGATAGCTAGTACTTAACATAGATTTATTTTCAATTTACTTTGTATTTCCTCATATATAAATTTAATAAAGTTACTGGCAGTGCCACATCGTAAAAAAAAAATAGTATTATATTTTAAAATAGCATTACATTTTAAAATATAAAGTGTTATATTTTTCAAAAATAGTGAATGACAGGAATCATTTTTAAATTTATAACAAAAAAAAATAATAATACATGTCCTTTATAATGTAGTAAATAGGAATGTTAATAGTTCAACTAGTTCAATTTTGGTCTGATTTTTATCAGTTTAAGAGTAAAATCAAATTAAATCAGTTTGTAGATCAATTTGAAATTGAGTATAAATTGAAATTTAAACTAAAGTTTATATATACAGGTTATTGTAAAAATTTTTAACAAAACTATAAAAAAATTATGCAATACTCAACATTCCCAATATAAAATTTTATTATAATACAAATTAACTGAAAAAAAGTCAATTATACAAAAAAAAATTTTTTTTTGCGATCTAATATTACTGAAATATTATTTCCATTAAGCTTTAACTGAAATAATTCTATCCTCACAATTTTAATATAAATTTATATATTTTTTACTATCCATTTTTCTGAAATCCAATGCTTCATACAAATAATTACTTTTGCTATTTCAGAATTTAACCTGTTTAGAACTAACATCGCTTGAATCGATAAATAATTCTTAGTCATTTGAGACAATATAGGATAATCTTTTTCATAAACTTTTTATCAAATTAAAGGATTAGTATCATTATCTATTAGAGAATTTAGACATCTATCTAATTCATCATATGTTATTCTGTGATAATTATTTTGATTAAGCAAATTAAAAAAGTAATTCTGAGATGATAACTTTTTTTTGAATTATTTAAGGGAGAATATTTACTATATAATTCATATATATTATTAATAATTTCAGCTAAATCATTATTTCAAATAATGTAATTTTATAATGCAAATCTAATACTGAAGAAATTGTAGAAGTATAATTTAAATGATTATCCTAATATTTTTTTAATTTGTTGTAAATAGCTGATGCTATTTCTTTTTGTGTATAATAATCCCTTCTTTGATATTGATTCAATTTTTTAAACATTCCAACAAAAACCAATCTAATATCACTTTGTGTAGGATTAATGATGATGATAATAACTGTGTTGCTTCATATATAAGTTGTAAAATTAATAATAATTCCTAAAATAAATAATAATTATAAAATAAATACATAATAATTAATTAATTATAATAATAAAATAATAAATAATAAATACCTTATATGATCCTATTCAGAAATTATTAAAAAAAAATTATCAAAATCTTCAAAATTTATTAATACAAATAATTCAAAAATATTTTGCATTAAAGTTTGTTTAGCAATCATCAAATATGTAGAATTTTAATACATATCTATATCTAAAATTAGCTTTAGAAATTTAATCTTTCTAATAGTACAAATTTCTAATAATTTATTCAATAATAGTGGTAATTTTTTAATTTAATAACAAATTGACAAAGTTTTTTGATTTCATCTTTTATATATTTCATTCCAGCTTTTTTACCAAGTTGATTATATAAGTAGCATATCAAAAATAAAAGATATATTATTAAATTCTTGATCTAATTCAGTTGCTAATTGATTACACATGCTATTATATTACTTCCATTATCTGTTATTATAGCAAGAATATTCTGACTAATATTGAATTCTTCAAAAGGTTGTGAAAGTTTGCTTGTAATTAATTCAGCTCTATGAGAACTATTTATAGGAATTATATTAAGCAAAAATTCTTTAATTCTTAATTATTATTAATATAATAAATTGTTATTCTAAGATAATAATCTTTTGGATCTGATGTCTATATGTCTGTTGTGAGAGATATTTTTGAATTAATTTGTGAAATTTTGCCTATTAAATCATTTTTTTTTTGTATCATAATTTTTTACAAATTTTTCTTTTAAAGTTTATCTATATGATAAAATAAATTGAGAATTTAACTTATTAACAAATAATTTGAATTCAGTATTTTTAACAATAAAAAAGGTTGTAAATCAGTTGCAATAAAATTAATTGATGAATTTGTGATAAAATTAGATTGTGATAAAGAATAGGGTTTGAAGAGTGTTTAATTTAAAATAATTTGATGATTTCAATTGTTTTATAATGAAATAAATATTTTTTAGTTAAATGTTTTCAGAGGATAGTTGTTGGTTTGCTAGACAAATAAATTTTAGCACATAATATGCATTTATAATTTGTTATTAGTTCAGTTTCTACATTTTGGACTTTAAAAAAAATTTCTATACATCTGACTTGTGAGTTGTTATATTAGAATCTTCTTCAGTTACTAAAGAAGTTGAAGAAACATCTGAGAAATTGTCATCATTTTCATTTGAATTATGCTATCAGATATTGTATAATATAAATAATAATGCAAAATGAAAATTATTCTAGTTAAAATAATCAATGTATCTTACAATTTATATAATATGACATTTATATAAATTGATCATCCAAACTGATCTAAATATTAGTTTGATTCAGTTCAATTTTAGTTCAATTTGATCTTCAAATCAAACTGAAATCAGTTCTATGATTAAATCAGAATCAGACTGATCTGATTACAGACCTGTTTGGCTACAGACCTTAACATCTCTAATAGTAAATAAAGTTTTTAATATTCTTTCTTCTTCCTTTTGAAATTTCATTTTGAAAATTATTAAAAAAAGTTCTGAAAAAATCCAAATAAAACTGAAAAAAATAAAACTAAAGTTTAGTATTAAAACTTTACAAATATTCTATATATAATTCCATTTGCTTTCAATACAATAATAAACATACCTATATTAAAAAATCAAAAATAGAACCTTCTTTTTAATATTAACCAACTACTTGAACTTTCAATAAAGGAGTTTAATAAAGAGTGGTAGCCTCTTGTATCAAATATGTAGACTGATTTAGCTGTAAAAATAATGTTAATAGTGACTCATAAAAAATTTTTGTTTGTGAATTTAAAAATCATAATAAGTTAAGTACTCAGAAAGAAGGTATTCTAAATAAAAAATATCACATAACAAATATTTGGTAAACTAACATATGTTCTGCAAAAATTAAAGTTTAACGTTATTTTTCTGAATAAAAATATAAGTTAAATGATTTAAGGACTCACCTGATCATTCACACTCTCTAAAAAAAGTGAAAAACTTAATGCTCACAAGTTGTTCAGAAATTAATTATACAAAAAGTCTTAAAGAATTATCAATTACCAGAAATCGTTGATGCAGTTAAGAAGATTGCAATTGAAAAATTAGACCTAGAAAAATATGTAAAAGAGTTAAAATAAAAGAAAGTTATAAATATAAAGTATAAAATACATAGACCTCTTGATATATATCTAATTAGTAATCCCAAAATAGAATTAGATATTTGAAATGCAATTTCTTTCTTAGAAAAATAAGGATATTTGGTCAAATACTATGAAATTCCTGATCTGTTTACCTATAGTTTCATTTTTATTCACCCTAATTATCTCAAAAATCTTGAGCAATATGGCTGGCTAACTCTTATAAACTCTATACATAAGACTAATAGATATGATTATCGCTTGTTTACTTTGTATATTTGCAATTATTATGGATGTTTGAATATTAGGACTCACTTTTTTATAAATAATAAAGACAGTAACACTATTGTAAAGAGTTTAAAAATAATTAGACAATTTGTTTATCATTGGAATCCAAAGTATTTTCTCTCTAACTCAAGTAATATAGAGTCTAATGCTATCAAAATGGCTTTTTTGAATCTTAAAAATAGTGAATAAAAGTGCAATATCATCTTTTGCACAGTGCATGTTATATATACCTTAATAAGTGAAATTTATAAGAAAAATACTTGACAAAAAATAGTCAAAATTATGTATAAAAAGACTAAGATTAGTTGTGAAAATCTTATTCAAGAAGCAATCAATGAATACTCAAATCCAACTATTAAGAAGTACATCTTGAGAAACTACATAAAAAATATGCATTAATGGACACTTTGTGCGTAACAGCATTCACCTCTTCTTTTACAAGTTATCTCAACAAATGCTTTAGAGTCATATCACAATGAATTAAAAAGAATAACCTCTCTAAAATATGGTTTAATCAGTAATAGCTTTTGAATTTATGTATTTTTAATTCAAAGATTTATTCTAATTAAGTTTTCAATCAAATACATACCAAAAATAGTAGCACTTGATAAAAAACATTCTAATTTAGAATGTATTACTTATGAAAATATTATTAAAAAATTTTGGCTGTTAATATTAATAACAAGATTCTTTATAAAATTCACAAATTCTCATTCTCTGTTCAACAAATGCTCATTAGTGAATACTGTGCTATTAAAGAATAAATAGAAAAGCAAAAGCAACATTAGGACTTATATCTCTAGCCTGCAATTATTTATTTTTCTATTAGTACTTGTTACCTTACCACTATATATTTATGAGAGTATATATAGTGATATGAAGCTATTGATACTTGATACATAGGATCGATTTCAGCGAATGTTTGATGAATCTGGATTTGATATATATATGCATTATAAATTAGATTTGGATGTGTCAGTACCAAGATTAACTAAAGCTGAGAATGCAATAGTAAATAGATGACAATAAGTGAATTAGTTAATGGAAAGAATGCGTAATACATACTGGAGAGTCAAAGAAAAAGGTAATGTAAAACAAACTGGTGTATTTGTTAAAAATTGAAAAATTATTTAGTACTTATTTTAAACAATTATAAAGGTATTTAAGTTTAACTTTTATTCCAAATAAACATATTTTTTATAACTTTAATAATACTAAAAATTTTATAATATAAAATATTATTAAAAAAAGTATTAAACAAATTTCATTACATTAATTAATTAAAAGATTTTATTAGAAAAAAATTTTATTAAAGAGAAACTTTGATAAAATATAAAAAAAAATAAGTTTTGTTAAAAAAAATGTAATGCTATTTTAAAACGTAATACTATTTTTATGTAATATATTCAGATTCTAAATTACTAGTCGAGAAATCATATAATTAAACATAACTTTAGATACTCCTTTTAATAATTTAAAGGAGAGATCTTACATAATCTATTCCAATATGATTGAATGGTTATCTAACTAATATTGGATGTAATGTTTCTATTTACTTGGACTTCCTTGCTGTTAGCATATATTATAAGTTTTTATCCAATTATTAATAACTTGATACATGTTTGGCTAGTAATACTTAAAGGCTATTTTATTATATGTGATATCATAACTTAAATATTCTTCTAATAGTTTATTATATACATTGTGAATTAAGGTTTTGACTTTAGTAGATTTTATAACTAATAAAGAATGTGAAGGTTGTTTTTGATTTCTATAGTAAAGTTGTTAATTTTTAATAAAATATTTAAATGATTGTTTTCAAATTTTAAGTTATTGTATAGGAATAATATTGGGTAGGTAAGTTAAGATGTTGAGAAAGTTATAAAATTAGTTATAAGATTCTAAATCCATTTTGATTATTAGAGCTGTTAGTTACATTGCTGATACTTAAGCTTTCACTCTATATTTTATTATTTTTCTGAATTACAATTAATTTGTGAAAGAAGAAAGTCAAGATAAGCATTTGTGTTTAAATGTATTTTTTCTTTTCTATATCTAATTTTGTAAGGGAACTCCATAATTCTAATAATTCATCTCATAAATTTTCTGGATGAATCTGATTTATTAAATAACTACTATAATGCTATATGATTAGTAACTAGTTCAAATGGTTGATAGAGTAAATAGGATCTAAAATATTCCATTTCTCAAATTGCAACAAGATATTCCAATTTAGTAGATTTATAGTTTCGTTTAACATTATTTAAACTTCAATTAGAATATGCAATTATATATTCTCTATTTAGATCATTAAGTTATACTAGCACAGCTCTAAGTCCTACTTAAGATCTATAAATAAATAATAAGAACTTTCACTTAAAGTCTAAATATATTAAAATTAGTATTATGATCAAATAATTTTCAAATGTTCAAATGCTTTCTGTTGAGCTAAGATCTATTTAAAAGGGCTTTTTTTTCGTAATAATAAATGTAAAGAGGCAGCTTTGATAGAGAATTTTTGAATAAATTTTCAATATTAGGAGCTAGCCTAAGGAATCATCTAAGTTTCATGATGTTTTTGAGGATTAAATAATTCTTAATCTTGTCAATCTTGAAAAGATCTGATAAAATTTCTTGTCTGCTAATAATATGTCTTAAAAATACAAGTTCTAATTTATAAAACTCATATTTATCTTTATCAAGTTTTAATTCTGCTTTACTTAATTTTTCAAAAATATGCTTTAAGTATTATATATATTCCTTAAAGATGAAAGAAAAGATAATAATGTTATCAAGATAAATTAGCACAAACTGTCTAATTTCTCTTTAAAAACTTTATTCATTAATTACTGAAAAGTGGCAGGGATATTTGTTAATTCAAATGGCATGATTTTAAATTTATATAATCCTTAACTTGTAATGAAGTCTATTTTTGCTTGGTTTTCAGCTTCCATTGCTATTTGCTAGTATTCACTAACTAAATCTAAAGTAGAAAAATACTTAGAATATTTAAACATATCTAATAGTTCGTCAATTTATGGAAATAGATATCTGTCTCTTCTAGTAACACTGTTTAGCTTTCAGTAATCAACACAAAAATATAAACTTTCATTTTTCTTTTGTATTAGAATAACAGATAAGGCTCAAAAACTTTCAGATGGTTGGATAAAATTGTGTTTTAACATTCAATCAATTTCTTTCTTGATGAATTCTTGTTCTAAAGGTGTAACTTTATAAGCTTATTGTCATATTAGAAGAGGATTTTTTATTAGAATATGATATTTTTAATAGCAATATGTTCTAGTTATGATAAGTCACTTATGAATGCATTAGTATTAGCCTGTAAAAACTGTTATAAATCCTTCTATTATTTTTAGTCTAAATGTATATAGGAATTAAATTTTGCTGGTTTTTCTTTAAGGATGTTTTGTAATAATTATCAATGTTTCCATTCCTTTGACATAATTAATAGGTATCATTTACTTGATCAAGTTACTTATAATATCAGCATCTATTTTCAAGGCCTTGCTAATAATAATTTTATTTTAAATTTTTAGGTAGTTGACATTAAAATTTTTGCTTAAGACTTTTAAAGTATTGTGAAGAATAACTTTGCTTTTGAACTATTACTTGCTTAAATTACTTTCAGCTAAAATTGATTTTTCTTCATTATCGCCTAATATTATATAATATTACTATATAGTTAATTTTTTATATTCATTTCATCACTTATAGAACTTGCAAGAATAAGTATAGACTGTTAAAACTTATCAAATTTAGGTTTTTTTCAGCAAGTTATAGGAACTTAGTGTTCTTGCTAGTTCCATTGAAAGATAAATTTTTGATAGTCTCAATAAAGTTATCTGTAACATTTTATTAACCAATTGTTTCTGACTACAATATAGTAATCATTAGATTCAGTTATATTAATATTAATAGAGATTATTACGTTACTAATTTGGATTAAAATATTAGTGATCTTTCTTAATAGTCATAAGCATTCATCTTGTATATCAATTATTATAATCATTGAAGGGCTTTTGATTTTTCTATTTAATTATTGCAAGAAACTTTTTAACATAATATTTTTAACAGAGCCTGAATCTAAGATTAAATAAATGGACTTGCCATTCACAAAGACATAACAATAAACAGTTTTTATAGCTTTAGATATATCAATTTCATTTAAGGGGTTTAAATAATGATTGATACTCTCACTCTTTTTAGATACCTTTAATAGTTTAAAGGCTGGTTGGTAAGGTTAGAAGAGAAGGTATTATTAGTTATTGAAGTATTAGAAAAAGAAAATGTTATTGAAGATTGTGAAAGAAGAGATGGTAAGAACGAGTTTGAAGTATTATATATAGAACTTCTTTAAGATAATGCAACTTATTGACCTGTTTGACTAAATTGTAGTTGTCCATTATTAAAGATTAGTGTCAGTCTGGTTAGACATAAATTTTTCTAATGTTTAAACTGATGACAATAGAGACAAGGTCTATTAGATGAAGTTTTACAATTTTTGACTATATGTTCTCTTCATTTATAAGTAAAACATTAGTTTTCATTCTGAGAAGTATTATTTCGATTTTTATTTTATTGGAAATTATTTCTATTATCATTTTGGTTACTTCGTACTCTGTAATTTCGATAATATATCTAGATTAATTATAGTTATAGCATACTTAGTCATTGTTATTACTATTATTATTTTTCTAATTATTATTATTATTATGTACAGGATGACTGTTATTAGCACAAGAGTTAGTTGTAGTAGTAATCAACAACTGCTTAAATTCTTTTATCAATTTTTTATTGTTCTTTTTAATTAGTTATTGTATGTTAGGAGCTTCTTCTTATTTAACTTCTTCATTATATTAGTTTAAGTAGGTTTTACTGAGAGAATATTCTGAGAGGACATTATTCTTAGAAATAATAGCTTCAATAGCTCAAGCTCAGTCAATTACTTTCTCTAAATCATGAGATGCAACAGCAGCTACTATAGCCAAAAATTCAGATTAAAGTCCTTATAAGAATTACTCAATTTTCTTATCCTCTAGTATATTGTAATCAAGATTAAGTTTAAGGTATAATGATTCAATATCAGCAGCATAATCTTTGACAGATTGGCCAAAACATTATTTACATTGTCTAAATGTGAAACACTATTGTATTCTTCAGTAAGTTATACAGTAATACTTTAAAAAGTAGTAAACAAAGTTTTCATGTTTATATTATTGATTACTAGAATTATCTTAGTAATACAAATCTTATTTATTCCTAATTTTATTATACTAAGTGAGGGCTGATCCTTTCAGAAAAGAAGGAACTAATGTAATGTGTCACTTATATTTTTTTAACCATTCTTAAGGGACTTATCTCTATTCTTAAAGGTTGATAAATCCATAAATTTAACCTTTCGTGATTTACCAGATCTAACAGATTTAAAGACAGTTTGCAGACCTCTTATTAATTAAAAGAAATTTTGTTTATTTTAGTTCTTAGCATTAGCTTTATTGAATAGATTCTCATAAAGTAACAAATAACATAGTTTTAAACGTAATAATATATATATTTTTTAAATTTTTAAAATTAATTTATAACTTATAATTTATATTATATTTATTTATAATATA